AATTTCTATCTTTCTATTTTTCTATCGTACCAAAAACAGTATAAGAGCTGTACAGAGAAAATGATTTTTTTGAGCTTGAAAAAACTTTTTGGATGATTTTTATATTATTGGATCAAAATAGATAAAAATTGTATTAATCTTGATCGTTGTGTTTTATAACTGGTGTGATTCAAGTTACTAACTGCTATATTATGTAGATATTTTTTTATCAATTATTTGAATCCCTAAATTTTAATTTGGACATGACAAACATTGATTCGATTATAATGAGACTTGAATTATATATAAATAAATACATATAAATATGTAATGCCATTAAGTGATTCTTGACGAATTGTATCGGATTTTTGGATCAAATTTATGCTATTTTAACAACTTTGAACATAGATAGTAAAATATTAATTTCGTCGAATAATCGGAATATGTCTTAAATCATATGAAATCTAATTCATTGAGTGACCTAATACATGGCATGAACAATTTTATTTTATTTTTTTGGATAAAGAAAAATGAAGGAATCTCATTTACACACTCAAAGATTTAAAATTTTTTTATTTTGTACCTTCAAGAATTAAATTTTTTTTTATTGCATCTTCAATATATTAAAAAATTTGGACTATGGTCTTTTCGTTAACTTCTGTTATTTATTTAATTAAAAATTACATTATTGGCGTTGACGGAATGAGTAATGAAAACCAAGAGAATAACTACATTACAACACTTTTAATAAATCGAGGTGTAATATAAAAAATTTAATCTTTAAGAGTATAGATTAAGAATTCCAAATTTTTCACGGTATAAAGTGCAAACGGCCCAAGAAAAAGAAAAAAACATTGCACCCTTTAATTGGGCTTATCAAATGGGTAACTCGCTTGGTCTTACACAAAACGTGGATGGTCCAGCCCAATTTCAGGCATAACAGATGGGCCTTTTGCACCCACATGAAACTTTGGGAAGTTCTTCGTAGCATGAATGTCCTCCAAGACGAAGCATGAAGAGACCTCTAATCTTTGAATCTTCCAGTTCCAACCTTAAGGTTTTACTGTAAGTAAAACAGCCTTCTACACTGGATAATAATAAGTAAACTATAAACTTGTTATGAACGAGCTTCTAGAAAGATAGATATTAGACGAAAATGGCCTAATATCTTGTACATTTAACTTGTTGACTACCATATATTATAATGTAATATTATTAATAATGGTGCCCCATTGTTGTCTGGTCTCACCCAATTAGAAAAATAGCTGTCAGTAGCCATATCCGTGGACAAGTTTCAGAATCCCTGCATAAGAAACCCATAACTTATATAGTGCAAGAAAGGGTTAATGCGTGCATGAATTTACCATTAAAAAGTTTGGATCATTATTTGATTGATTTGTCAATCTTTCGATAAACAAGTCGATACAAACTTGACAAGACATTATTCAAATACGATATGAACTCGACAAAATTCATTATCCATTATGTTTGTGTTCCTGTAACACGTTGGCCGGTTATATTACATTATCCATGTGGACACTATAGAGCGTGCTCATCGAGTTGAATGCATCAATTGGACATCATTGTCTGATGCCAATAGACAAAACAATAGAAAGTTTCGATTGCCTTTCTCTTCTGTGCTTTGATTACCAACTAAAAATCTCTCAGAAGTCCTCATTACAAGCCACAAAGTTTGACAAAATCTTCTAAGACGGCCTTTTGAAAACTGCTTTCTGAAGCTATAATAGGAGCAAAGATAGATGTAGCCTCACCTGAATTGTCATTTTCTTTAGGCCCAGGCAATGTTATTTGGTAGGAGAGAGATGATCAATGGCAGCAAAAGTCGTACAACATGTTATTTATCAGGTTACTTGTCGATTAACATGTGTCCATGGTGTATGTTGTTTAATTCTTTGTCAATCTTCGTATATTTTTGAGTCCTTGTTGACCAATGCTCCTAACATTGCACATAGACTCGGCAACCCACCTATCTATTCATATTGACAATCAAAGCTATGACCGAATGACACCGTTATTACTTAATAAAGAGATGTCATTTCATGATGATGCAACAACATTTTTTACTGTGCACTAAAAGATCCACACCAATGGTTAAAGTGATTACATTGTTTTAAAAGTGATCATAGGACGTCGTTTTGAGAACAATATTGTCTGTTCGTGTTAGAACCCAAACACAACAAGCATTTTGTGGTTTCGGTGGTGTAAATTGGTTCTGCAACAAGCATTTTGTGTTAGAACCCAAGGCATAGAGGAAGAGTCCAAATCATGATGTCTGTAGAAGATTGAAAGCGGCTTTCCAGGGTTCATGGCCTGCCATTGTTACAACTAAGTGTATGTTTGTTTAGGGGCAAATTTTCTCCTGTAAATTCATACCACATGTGCATAGAATTAAAGTCTATTCTGGTGTACTGAGGTAACGCTGTCACTGATGTGGTGCCACATAAGACAGTCAAACTATCCACGAAGGTCTATTGGACTACAAGGGCGTGCCACATAAGAAAAGGATGTGCTGTTGATCCGTCCAAATCATCACATCACATGTTCATCTCTCCATTAATTAATTAATTAACAGGTGCCTAACCCATACTTTTTTTTGTTTCGGTTGACGATTCCACCGGATTCTAAATAAACATTATTGCAGGTATATGGATATTGAAGAACTAAAAGTCCCAATGGAATAATAAGTTGCTTCAACGTACGTACCGGATCAACGTTGAGTGCTTCAAGTAAGTCATATCATTTATTATTATTTTGCTTCAAGTAAAATCGTTTATTATTCATATTAGTAAGTCATATCATTTTTAAATTTGTGTTAAAAATTAGTCCATTCTAACCCGTTAATTTTATATTAACATCGTGTTGTGTTATTATATCATGTTGTCAAAAATTTACCACATCAATCATAGGGATGAAGATAATCTAATACCCATTAGTATTTTTTAACTATTTCTGCGTCGCAACTACTTTGGCAAGTCTTGGTAGTGGTTAATTAGGTTTCTAAAGGGTAAATACGGTTGATCAAGAGTGGATAAACTTGAATTTTTTTCACTCAATACTTAATTTTGAGTCTCCATAGTTATAGTAGTTCAGTGGGATTAACGCTACTCATCAACCCCCAAACATCCAGAAACTAATAGATAATTACTGGACATCTTAAATTCCAATTGAGTTACGACACACATGATAGGATCTTAGCTTTGATCCTAATGTTAGTGTTGTGATGTCTCTTGCAAATATTTTTATTTACACATCTATTTTGGTCACCTATAAAAAAATAAAAAGGGAAGGGGGGGGGAGGGCTGCACTTGAATGCTTACTTACTCCCCAACCGGTTTGTACAGAACTCAAGCGTGTACTCCGTGAAAGCTTTAAAGCAGGAACATGGTGCAACTATTTAATTGACACATCCAATACGTAACTGTGAAACCGTGCACGCAAGGGAATGCCCATGCCCATGCCCCAACAAGTCTATACCACGAGGCTTGACGCGAGCTAGTGTCAACCGAGTCACTAAGCAGCAATTGATATGAACATAAAGTTATTAAACAATATTAAGTGTCACACATGAATTCTAAAAGTGATCTTCCTTTTACATGTAGGTAATTTTATTTTATTGTTATTACCTCTCATCACCTCAGCAGCATTAGAGCCGAGAGAGACTGGTGGAGAATGGGTGGACGGACATCCATTGCCTTATCTTTTTGTCTCACAAAAGACATAGTTAGATCACTTGGAACTAGGTTTATCAATGCATTGAATTTCGTTAACGTGAATTAAAATTTAAATTAAAACCTTCATTATAAATATTTATGCATTTCATTTTTAAAACTCATGTTGCAATCTATAAGAAATCAGAAATCTGATTCAAAATTGAGTAATTCAGATAAACAAAATTTTACAAAATCAATCCGAATATCAATAGGAGCATCACTAACACATATATATATACTTTGAATTTGATTGTGATCAAATGTCGATACAACTATATACGATTTCAAATTATTGGTTAAGATCATATTATTCACTATCCAACAAATCAGAATCGAACTTAAATCAAAATTCTGATCAATTGATATGTTTACTCGAAATCATAGATGGACACACAAGCATAAACAAATCCCAATTATTCTCCATCATTCTAAAGCTAAGAATATTATAATTTCCATAATTCACATAAGGTTTTGTCTCCATATGGCAAATAACAAATATTAAATCTATTCGATGGCTTCGATTCTTGCTCGACTCCTTTGAAGGTCAAGTCAAAAAAAGTGAATTCAATCAATCTGATGGCTTTTTTTTTCAAAACTTTGTTTAGTTTCGTCGTGGGAGTCATTTTCTTTTCCAACGTCAGACTCGATCACTTTTCAGTAATCACTCTTAGCTAGTTAGGTTGGGATGGTGGCAATAGGTACACATTATATCATGAAGAAATAAGCTTTTATTTAGGCTTCATCAATGTCTCTCTTTAGGTATGCAGTTATATTATAAGGATTTTGATACAATCAGCTGGATCCTTTCTGGAATTGGATATTATAAAAGAGCCTCGCTTGATTTAGAGATCAATTTACGTATTGATATGATATACAGCAACAGAGAAACATGTTATACTTAACACTAACCCTATATTTATCTAAGTACAAAAGAGATTGTCTCATCCTAATACAGGACGGACACATGATCTATTACCGTATGAAATTAGAAAAAACAAAGCACTATAAGTGATCTTGAACTAATTTGAAAAAAGTAAAAAAATTGAGTAAACAACACAATTAAATTAACAAAATGTTATGCCACCATTGCTCCAGGCATGCTTGATCAGAGATAATGAAAACCTAACCCACTAAGCCAAATAGAATAGTACTATAATTGTGCTGTTGGTGGTATAGATATTGTTTAGTGCAAGCATTACCATCCAAGCTTGCTTCACATTCTAGTCCTTTGTTTACCATAATCCACTCAACTACTACTTTAATCTTTTAGTACTTATAACAAGATGCTTTATTCCTTCGTCTATAAACACGCCCTTTACAGCAACAGGAAGACAAAAAACGACATTGAAACTTTAAACATTATTATACATGCCACCAAACGCAGTGCTTGCATTAAATATTTCATACAATATTTAATTCCAAATCCCCAACAAATTAATCTCCTCCCCCACCTTTAATATAAAAAAACAGGAAAAACTATTTAAAAAAAAAAATCCAACCCATTCCCCCATTGTGGTGTATAATTCATTCTACAAATAATGCTATATTATCGAAAAAATTAAAATAAAAATAAAAAATTAGATCAAATAACGTGGAGCTAATATAATGAACAAAATTATAATTTGCATTAGCACCAAGTCACTTGATCTCATTTTTTGTTTATCTCAATTTTTTTTTTCGCAAGTTTAACATTGTCCTTCTTACACGTATATAATCGTCATGTGTTGAAAGGTATTTGGTGGGATCCGAATGCTTGTCGTAGTGACTCAGTTCCTCGTCACGTTGGCCCATGTTCTTGGGCCGTAGCAGGTTCAAGAGGCCCACAGATGGAAAGGGACCAGAAAAAGTTGGGTGGTCCACATCCACATGTGAGATAACACCTAAAATCCGACAAGGTTAGATGGGGCAGAGTGGAAAGCTAATGGGCAAGTTAGAAGTGCTGACACAACCGCCATATTGCAGCCACGATTGCGACGGAACCGGCAATGGCGTGTGACCCGAACACGTGCATGCACATGGATGGTGATGATGATCCACTCACGTCCAGTGCACCTTCGTACACCATTGTGCTGTTGTACTCCGGCGAGTTTCCGGCAACCGGATTCTGATTTTGATTTTGCCCATCCGACGATGATTTTTGACTGCACATTCACAAAGTTACTGTTAGATATATTGAATATTACAAGAAGGGAAAATATGAATGCATACCATGATGATAAAAACTTGTTGAGTTTATGTGTGGTTGATCAGTCGTGCTAAAAATTGATAATCCAACTGCCATAATAGTCTAAATTACTAAAATACCCCTGCTAATTCCCAGAACGGGCCACCAAATAACGGAAATATTCTCCGTACGTGGCTAGTAAATCGAGAAAAAGAAACTGACCAGCCACCGACTATAACGTTCGAGTTGACAGGCTTTCAATATCACAAAAATGACAAAACTACCCTAGGTCAAACAAAGTAACAACGTTTATGCATGGGGATTCGAGTAAATTTACCTCGTGTTCGGCGACGGGCAGAAGGAAATAAGATAGTCAGCACCTGCGCAGGTGAAAGTACTGGTTTTGTCATCGTAAGCATAACTGTATGCACTTGGGCAGGCGTTCTTGAAAACTTGCGAGTACGAAGAGGGCTTGCAAATGTCGGGTGAGTTATACGCGCCGCTGCAACAGTATTGTTCTTGGTTAAACGCCACACAAGCGCTCTTACACCCCGCGACCGCTCCGTCATTGCTCGTCACTTTGAGCTCCGACGGACAGGCGCCGTTCAAATCCACCACGCATCCCGTGGCTCTACAGTTGACTCCGGTACCACCCTGAGGAACCACCAGCATGGGAAGGTTGTACCCATCCACCAAGCTGACGTCATAGAAATCCATGCCACCACTACCGTCCAGCGTAAACTCCGCCAGGGTGGCGGGGGGTGCGGCACCAGCCCCGGCGCAATCTACCTTTCCTGAGCCGCAATCCCCTGTAACGCAGGTGAACTTTCCGGTGGAGTCTTCGCTGCATTGGGTACGACCCCAGAGCCGGCCGCCCCACGACGATGGTGCGTTGATGGTTTTGGACTCTCCCTTCTGGAGGGCAAAACCGGTTGTTTGGAGTGGTGCAACACCAGCGTTTGTTAAAATGCCTGGCCATACTGGGTAGTTGCACTTGTTTACTATTGTGAATGTTGCTGATGAGATTACTCCTGCAGACCCCAATCATTTCAACCAAGAAAAAAAGGGTTAAATATTTAGCTCTAAATTTAATCATCACCAACAATTACGATTTTTTAAACCTTTCTTTAATGGAATTGTCGTTTCTTTACCTGATATGAAGAGATCTGTGACCGTTAGAAAAGAAATTAAATAGTTCAATTGAGCCATTTGGGAGGAAATGGAAGAGGAGGACTGGAGGAGAAGAAAAAGTATGTGGGAGATCTGTGGGTCGAGTAGTCCCAAAGCCTTATTTCTTCTTCCTCTGAATGGGAACTGAAAACTCTGGAGGGGTGTGTGAGATTCTGGTAAGAAGGAACGGTTTGTTTATTTATAGAACAGAGAGAGGCTGAGTGTGTGTGTGTGTGTTTACATGTGGGCCCTTTTATCCGGCGCATTTTCTTTATTTAAATTGGTTTACAATTCAAGTGCAATTCGCACACACTTTCCTCTGCTTTGTTAATGTGAATGGAGGGGCAGGGGAGATTTGTGCATACTGCCAAAAAGTGCAACAGATTGTCCAAGAACCAGTAACTATAAATTGTCAAAGAAATTGCAACAGATTGTCAAAGAAATTGCAACATACAACTACAAATTTAGTTTGCATTGCAACATTGACTCCTCTTCTTCCTTTTAAGACACCATGGTCAAAGGGCAGCATCCACAAGTTTGAGATATTTTAGTGAAGCCTACTGCCAATTTCGAATTCATTTCTATTCAATATATTTTCATTTTAGTTTGGATCAAAGATAAGGAGTACCATGAGTGGTAAGTTCAATTATAATAAATAAAAAAACACTGTTTAAATTTATTATGAGTGATATATCGATGAGTGAAATTAAAAAAATATATATTAAAGAAATTGTCAATCTCTTTCTTGTATTGGAACCAGAAAGATGGGGATTTCTAAACAGATTCTTAAGAGCACAGCCTCAATTTTCTTTATCTGAATAGTTTACTACTTATTCAATGGTTGTGATTATTAAATCTAATTTTTAAATTCATATAACATTACTGTTATCCGAAACCATTTTTCTTGGTTATAAACAATGTTATCACTTATGGACCACGAAATGATTAAGATAAATTCTCAACAATAATATCAAAAGAAATACTAAAAAATCAAGCGTGGTCCTAAATCATAAAGCACATCCATGCATCTTTCACACTCAGATTATCTGCAACTCATTCTCTATCTTTTCTCTTTTAGCTACTTTAGCTAACCAAACACAAAAAATTCTTCCAACTCACTCTCTATTCTACTCTCTATTTCTTAGTTAACCCAAATGGCTCACCAAATGTGGTGAGCTATTTGAGTTCTCTAAATTCTCTCTCTACTTTTTTTTCTCTCTATCTCTCTATATATGTTGTACTTCTTTTAAATTATTGAAGGTTACTGAAAGTTAGGTGTAGTTGTTAGCTAAAATAGAGACTGTAGTTTGAGTGAATTTATAAAAATAGGTAATTAAAGTAGTGAATATAATATTTAAATATATTTTGACTAACTATTTTAAAGACGAGGGTTGGAAATGCTCTCACTAGCTCTTTTCCTCACAATTTCTCTTCTTTTTCCTCTGTTTTGTACTCTTATTGTCCAATCTCAAAACAGAGCGAATGTAACGGGGCATATACAAACAAGTGGTCTTGAGTGACATAAAAGAGTTAAAGAGGGCCCGATTAAATCGAAATATAATTTGAGGATGGAATTAGAAAACTTGAGATATAGTTTATGGGTCAAAATAGTAATATACTCCAACTGATTATAATAAAATGAAAGAGAAAAAAACAGTAACGGAATTGCCACCGTACCGAGTCAAAATACCGGCGGCATACACGTTGAAATTGAAAGAGTCCTGCTTGGCAACCTTTTAAGTTGACAAATGTTGATCTTTCATAGATCTCCGAAGAAGGGTCAATCTTGCAATCGGATCGTATTTGATACCCTTCAGATGTCACTTCCAAATGAGCAAATTCAACCCGGATAGTGCAGTAAATACAAAGACTGATACATACTAAATTCAAAACTAGACGGCTGTTTAGGATTAGACCAAATTTCCTAGTTCCAAGAGTAGATGACCTACACCAATTAATCAAGGTGTGATGTAGTTAAGCTACAGCCGGGAGGGAGGTAGCTAAGCTTCAACATCCAAGCACTTTGAATCAAAATTATTTGCAGCGCCGCACCACGTGGGTTGAATTTCTTAAGAGCTTTTAGTTGATTAACGTCGTTTTCCCATTTATAAAAACGATTGAGTGCCAACTTATGATTTGAGAGGCGAGTTAGAGGATCATCAGGAAAAGAGAGGTAAAAATGTATGTTTTTTAGTGACATGAACACCAAATATACAAGCCGCCAAAACAATGTCTTCATATATGATTCAATGAGATTTTTATTTTTAATATTAATAATTATTTATTTATTTATTTTAGATTAAAAGCACTATAATTTTTTAAATTTAATTTTTCGCTACCATATATTTTTATATTGATAGTATTATTAATCCACGTAATTTTTCTTATGATAATCAATTTTAGAAAAGATTTTATTAATTTTAATTTTAAAAAATTTCTTTTAATTGTAGCCAATCATGGTCTACTGATTTTAATTTTTCAAGTTTAATAAAAAATAAAAAATATTATAGTATATTTTTTGTATAAGAATAAAAAAAAATCTTAAAAAAAAAAAGAGGATTTATGTTTAGTAAAGAGTGAGTGAGTGAGTGACTGAGAGAGAGAGAGAGGGCGTTAGCGAGAGATGAGATATATGTTTAAGACTTTTTTAACTTATTTTTTGGACATGAGAGAATTGTAACAAATGAGTGGTGTGCTTTGCTTAACTAGTTGAATTTTTTTTTAACCTTTAATTTTGCATTTTTTTTAAAAAAAAATATTTTGATATATTTTTAATATTATGATTGAATTTATGAGCCCAAATTACTGAAATATATTTTTGATTAGTTTTAAAATTTTATAAGGTGTTTTTTGGAGCTTAATATATTATGGATCTAAATTTTTTTTATTTGGATTAACTGTACACCTAAAAATTTTAAGACATTCTTTAAATATGAGATCTAAAATTCAGACTTTATTAACAGACACACGATTCATCCTTCTTTACCCTACAAACCGCAAATACTGGACCTCAAATACTTAATTATTTTGCGACAACTTTTATCAACAGTTTCGAAGGAAGTTTCCCCAAAGAGTGTTGTTATTGGGACCTAAAAATCTAACATAATTTGCTGATATAATGATGTGGCTTCACTATGACCTTTGAATTGATTGCGGGCTCCATCAAACATTAGAACTTTATATTAATTCAATGATTTCAATGAACCCACATCATTATGTCAACAAATTATGTCAAATTTTTAATTCCCAATAGCATCACTCTCCCCCAAATTGTAAGAAAATTCTTGGTCTTTGACTAGAGGGCAAAGAGCATAGTCGATCATTGTCACACCCAAACTGACTTGGGTGCAAATGACCGATCTTGGTGGCACCTTGCACCAAGGCATGTCATAAGTTGGAATCAAGGTGATGCGGCTAAGTGGTTCGACAGATTGGGACGAACCAAGGCAGTATGAGAACACCTGGTTGAGCATGGCAACACGTGGTGGACTCAATTGAAGCAATGTAGGTGCATAGCTTCGGATTGCATGGCATGGGTTGAACCCAGCATGCACATTGGTTCATGTAGCCAGGCTGACTACTGAATGTGGACATTTGACTGACACATGGTTGTTCAATGCATGTGACCAGGAGGATGTGGGCGGTTATGATGCTGAAAGACAGTCAAGACAGTTGCTGAGGCAGTTCTGGGCATCTCTAGTCTAAATCCAGTCTAGATGCATGCTGATGAAGGGCAGTTCCACAGCAGTTACTGAAAGTGGTGGAACTGCCTGCCAGGTGTCCCACGGAGACCAAGCCTGCTAGTCAGTATGTTATGGAATAGCAAAAACGTGTGTAACTACCCCTTAGCAGATGGGGGTGTCATCTGTCTTGCTCCTGTATAAATAAGGGTGTTTGAGCATTCTGATAAGGTAGAGAGTGTTCTGGCTTTGAGAGTCCTTGTAAATTGTTGAGCTCAATATATAAGGTTTGAGAGTTTTGTCCCAGTAAATTCGTGTGTGCCTTCTGTGTGAGTTTCTGTTCCTTATTCTTGAGTTTGAGTGTGGCTGGTTGCAGTAGCAACGCCTTCACAGATAACCTCGAAAGAAAAACGAAAGTTACCCTGTGACAGTTTGGTATCAGAGCGTGATTTTGGCAACAAATCAACTATGGCTGGCGGAACGAATGCTAATCTAAGGGAAAGGGTGGCACGTTTGGAGGAATTGGTTGGTCCTCCACAATTTGGTGATATTGTGGCTCTCTCTGTGCAACTTGAGTTGCTGTATCAACGGTTTGAAGAGATGCGGGTTGCACATGAACAACTTCAAAAGACTGAATCTGATCACGTCAATCGAGTGAAAAAACGAAGTTATTGACGTGCTGGCTACGATCTCCACATGGACCGATAATATGGGAAAAAGATTGAGTTCCCTCGAGACAGACGTTTTAGTACTCAAGAAGGCACTGTAGAATGCTTCTTTGGCTTCTAACAGTGAAAGCACTCAGAAAGCCAAAGTGTCTGACCCTAAGCCTTTCACAGGCAGTTGTAATGCTAAAGAACTCGAGAATTTTCTGTGAGATATGGGACACTACTTCAAAGCAATCCGCACTTCGGATGCTGAGAAGGTAGATCTCACTAGCATGTACTTATCTGGTGATGCTAAATTATGGTGGCGAACACGTTCTGAGGACAAATCTCGTCCTCCAATTATTACTTGAGAGTCTCTGTCCGCTGAAATGAAGGAGCAATTCCTTCCCAGCAACACGGCTTGACAAGCCCGTGATGCATTGAGGAAACTTTGATATACAAGCACCGTAAGGGAGTACGTGAAGCAATTCTCGTCTCTGATGCTTAACATTAAAAATATGTCAGAGGAAGACAAACTGTTCAACTTTATGTCTGGTCTCCAAACTTGGGCACAGGCAGAACTTCGTCGGCAAGGGGTGAAGGATTTATCCGCTGCTATGTCCCCAACGGATGCATTGGTTGACTATAAAACGCAGGCTAATCCTCTAGAGAAGAAGCCGAAAGGGAAAGCCAAGTTCCCTAAGAAGGACAAGCAGAAGAAAAAGGCTGAGAAGTTTGGCAATTCAGAAAAATCGCCTGACAAAGCCTCTTCATCAAAGGGAGGTGTTGACTCAGGTTGTTTTATCTATAATGGCCTTCATCGTG